AAATCTTAAAAAAAAAACAAAAACCATCATGAGCTATCAGAACCTCCTACCTGTTAGAATGACCACCATCAAAAAACAAGACATAACAAGAGCTGAGGATGGAGAAAAGGGACCCCTCATGCACTGGGGTTGGGGATGCAAACTGGTGCAGCCACTGTGGGAAACAGTATGGAGGCTCCTCAAAAAGTCAAAAATAGGGGCGCCTGGGTGGCTCAGTCGGTTAAGCATCTGCCTTCGGCTCAGGTCATGATCCCGGGGTCCCGGGATCGGCCTCATGTCATGCTTCCTGCTCCGTGGGGAGTCTGCTTCTCCCTCTTCCTCTGCCCCTCCCCCTGCTCATGCTCTCTCTTTCTTTGTCAAATAAATAAATAAAATCTTTTTTTTAAAAAAAAGCTAAAAATAGAACTACCCTATGATCCAGCAATTCCACTGCTGGGTACTTAAGTGGAAACACTAACTCAAAAAGATCCCTGCACCCCTACGTTCACTGCAGCATTATGAACAATAGCCAAGACATGGGAACAAGACATCCACGGATGCATGAATGTATAAAAATGATGGAGTGTGTTTGTGTGTCCGTGTGTCGGGGGTGGGGGGAGAAAGTGACACACACACACACACACACACACACCATGGTATATATGCACAATTTCAGCCATAAAAAAGAAGAAAATCCTACCATTTGTGACAACACAGGTAGACCTTGAGGGCATTACGCCAAGTGAAATAAGTCAGACAGAGAAAGACAAATAATAGATGATCTCACTTCTATGTGGAACGTAAACTTTAAAAAAAAAAACCCAAACTCATAGATAAAGAAGATCAACTGGTGGTTGCCAGAGGCAGGGGGTGGGAGTGGGCAAACAGGGTGGGGGGGGGTCAAAAGATACAAAGTTCCAACTATATAATCAATAAGTCCTGGGGATGTCACATACAGCAAGGTGACTCCAGTTAACAATACTGTCCTGTATATTTGAAAGTTGCTAAGAGAGTAGATCTTGAAAAGTTCTCATCGCAAGGAAAAAAATTTGTAATTATGTGCGGTGATGGATGTTAACTGAACTTACTGTAGTCATCATTTTGCAATATATATGTGTTTCTAATCACCGTACACCTGAAACTAATATAATGTTACATGTCAATTGTATCTCAAAAAAGTGAATTAATGAGTGATCGAATGAATGAATAAATAGGGGACAACTCTTCCTTACAAAAGAATTCCAATCAATTAATCTAGGGGGAATGATGGGAATAGAAAAATCACCATCAGACAAACGCTATCATAATCATCTTTGCTTGCAAGACTCATTGAAGGATGCTCAAGAATTGTGGGTTGAAGTATGATGAGAAACAAGATATTTAGATAACCTCAAGTGGCTCCACGGAAGACATTTGTGAATGACGAAAGGAATAATGCTCTCTCCACACAGAAGGAAGCTGGCTGCCATGGTCTTAGCCAAGCCATCACGGTTAACGTCCCTGTAATAAGAGACTGGCATCATGTACCACCCCCCGATCCAGCGCCCTGGAAAGGACGCAGCACCATCTCTACAGTATCCTTGTCCAAAATGCCTAAACTCAGTCTAACCGGGAGAAAAGAGCAAACCAATCCACACGGAGGGCTCTTGTACAGAGGACACTCAAGGGAAGACCAAAGACTTCCCACAGACTGGAGACTAAGGGGAAGCAGATCCTGGGCCGGAAAAGGACATGAGTGGGAAAACTGATGAACTTTAAAAAAAGGTCTGAATTTAGCAGGTTAGTTAACAGCATATGAACGTTAATTTTCTGATTTCCATCACTGCACTCTGGTTCTATAAGGAGCCAAGTGGGTGGAGGGTATACAAGAGCTCTGTGGGTTACTTTTATAACTTTCTGTGTCTAAAATGGTATCAATATAAAAAGTGTCATTTTGGGGCGCCTGGGTCTCAGGCAGGGGTGCCTGGGCGGCTCAGTCATTAAGCGTCTGCCTTCAGCTCAGGTCGTGGTCCCAGGGTCCTGGGATCGAGCCCTGCTTCTCCCTCTCCCACTCCCCCTGCTTGTGTTCCCTCTCTCACTGTCTCTCTTTCTGTCAAATAAATAAATAAAATATTTTTTTAAAAAAGTGTCTTTTTAAAAAGATGTTCTGTCTTCTACTACCAGTCGGTGACTCTCACGCACACGTGGTCCAAATACCTCTCCTGAGGCGCACGTAGCTGGCCTACCTCCCGCCTCCCAAATTTCACTCACAAGCCCCAGCTCCTCACCCCACTGGAATCCCAGAGAGACAGCAGCATGGGGGCGGCCAAGAGACAGCTTCGAGGTCAGTTCCGCTCGGGTCCAAGCTACACCTCCATCGGCCGAGTCCCTATACATGTCCCCTTGACTGGCTTCATCAGTTCTCATGTCACCTCCTCAGAGAAGCCCTCCCTGACCACCTGAACTAATGCTCCTCCCTCCCCCCAACATCCCTTTCTACCACATACCTGGTTTTAGTTCCTTAAGAAAGCACTTACACTCCCGACAATGTGTTTCATTTCACGTAGGGCACGCTGACTCTCTAAAACGTTCTTGCTTCCCTACCTGCTGACTCGTGCATTTCTCCCCAGCCCCACTCTCCTGTGAACACGGGGCCCGCCACTGCCCTGTCCACGGCCGGATGCTCAGCTCCTAGCAGGTGCTGGCTGCTCAGCACACCTTACAAACCAGGGCTGGGGTTTTCCCTTAGCCTTTGGCCCAGGAACTGCCCCACACAGGGGTTGGTGTGCCCATTCGAATAGGACACGCGGCCGATGACTTACTCATAGAACTCCGCTGCGGGCGTGAACTTGTACTTGGAGTACTTGGTGTGGTTGCCCAGCATGGAGCTATTGAGGAGCTTGGGGTCAGTGCAGTTGGGGCTGTTCCAGGAATGGCCGCAGTCAGTCCAGGGCAGTTTGAGGGTGAAGGAGGAGAAGAGGTAGTAGAGCGACCAGGCAATGATGACGTTGTAGTAGAAGCCAACGTAGATGGCGATGAGGATCACGGCGTAGCCCACTCCTGCGCGGGGGGCAGAGCGGGCTCAGGCGGGGGCTTCCCCAGGCCCCATCCCAGAGCCTCTCACGTCTCCTGGGGAGCCAGCTCCGACCATGGCATGACCCGACCCCTCCGCCCCTCCTTCTCCTTAGCCCAACCCGTAGGCCGTGGAAACCCACCAGCCCTTCGCCGGAGTGCTCTCTCTGGCCCCTGGAGCCCCTCGGCCCCCTCATCCGGCAGGCCAGAAGGGCCAGGCCCTCACTGCCCCCAAGCAGCCGCCGGATATAAGTACCGGAGTGGATGAAGGCACTGGAGTCTGAGTATCCCGTGTCCCTCACTCCTGGGGCGGAGTAACAGTGAGGCCCACTAATGCTCTCTCCCCGGGGGGATGAGCCCCTGGCCCACGGTGGAATGGGCTTGATGACACACCTTTTACTGGCTGACTCCCCTTCTCTGGGTCCTACAAGTCCTTCCTAGAATCACCTCCCAAAATAACTCCCTACACAAATCCTTGTCTCAGGACCTGCTTCTGGGGAACCCCAGACAAACTCCCTGATGAGCCCTGGGCCCTACTTTCAACCATCTGCCTTGGGCGTGTGCCAATCCCATCTGCCTGAAGATACAGGGAGCTCCTCTTGGGCTAGCTAGTTCTAGGCCTTTGCCTCGAGTAGACATTTTTTCCTGCCTGTGCAGCATTGCTCTAAGGGAGTAGCCTCAAGCATTCTTAGCATGTGAGGTTTGGGTAAGGCTAATCCCTCATGTCCTTAACCTAGCTATAGGCACATGCCTCAGGCCTGACCACTCAGACTTCTGCTTGCCCAGAGCCACAAGGACTGGTTGATAGGGGGCCTATGACTCAAACGAAGCCAATGAGAGTCCTCTCTGGGACCTTTAAGGATGATAGAAGGTGTCTTTGATTTCTTGTGTCACTGTTAAACTTGGTAGGAGGTCATCTTGTTGTTGCTGATGGCCAGTTTTGCTGGCACCTGAGAAGAATATGCCTGAGATGGATGCTGACGCTGACTTCCGATGGAGAGAGGTGAAGAGAGATTCCAGGTCATCTTATTCAAGCACCTGGATCAAGATGCACCCGAAGCTAGCCAGAAACCCTTGGACTTTACTGTATCATAAGCCAATTAATTCTCTTCTACATGAGAGCCACTTTGAGTGGGATTTCTGGGAATTAAACTAAAAAATCCTAACACACATGTCTTATAAGCCTCTTGTACCAGCCCGTGTCCACTACAGGACCAAGTACAGAGAAGGTGGTCAGGAGACACGTGCCACCTGAATAAAGGCGCACAGGAATCATACCCGCCCTCAGGGCCATCTGGGCCTGGGTCACTAACCAGCGCTTGGGAGGCACTAATTCTGACTCCATGCCCTTCTCATCGATGTACAGGGGCCAAGAAATGCCAGTTGCTATGGCTACTTTCTCCAGATGTGCTCCAAGTCCCAAATGCAAGCAGGCTTCACCACGTCTCCCAACCGTGATCAATCGGTGGTGGTTGCTGGATTAAGGACCGTGAGACAGGTTTCTAGCTGAGCCCAGAAAGGCCCATGAGCAGCTTACCATGTCTCTGCCGTGGGAGCGTGAGCGGAGAAGAGTGGGGTGCGCTGGGTACTTCTGACACTCCCGTAAATATTTCCCACGTGGGAAACAGACACCCTCTGGTCACTCAGCGGTAGAAGCTGGACTGGTCCCCAGGTTTCTAGACTTTCTAGGCTAAGCTGTTCCTGACACACCAAATGCTCTCCACGTAACTCTGAGCGGTGAATGCTCTTGACCGTGCCAATGTCCATGAACCCCAACCCCACCCCCGCCCGAGAGCTGGTCTACCTCAGATCCCACCTCTGGAGCAGTTTCTCCAAGGGGCACCGAGGAAATCTTTTGGATAACCTTGGACTCCCCCCGACCCATGCTTTACCTTTGAAGAATGGGCAGATCTTCCACACTGTGGCTGCCCCTTCTCGGTTGTACTGGCCCAGGGCCAGCTCCATGTAGAACAGAGGCATCCCGGCGATGATAAGGAACAGGGTGTATGGGATCAGAAAGGCACCTGGAGGACACAGAGGCAGCGCGTGACCCCCCGGACCCGTGCCCAGCCTTGCGCCTGCCCCTCAGGGCGCCTGCCAGAGCTTCAAGGTCCTCATTCCCCAGCTCCCGGGCCACTTCCCGAAGGTGTTTTGTGGTAGATAAATAGAGGGACACAGAGCCACGAATACAAGTAATTGCCACACTGATAATTGTGGGGGTACCAAGAATAACCATCAGTCATGCTAATGAGCTTCTGTGGTCAGAGCAGTAAAATCTGGCTTCATCAAAGCTGAATGGGCTTGTTTCTTGCAGGATTCTTCTGGCCTTCGAGGACGCTTAGAGGTACAGCCTTCACCAGATTCCTCTAACTGCAGAACCTTTCCTTGCGCGAACCGTCGCTCTGGGGGATGCCGATCGCCCCAAGGCCCCCTTGTAGAGGTCAGAAAATTGAGATCAGAGAGGGAGAGAGACAGTGCCCAAAGTTACCTATGATTGAGTTTCTAAATTTGCTTCCATATGTCTCATTTTCAGGTCACTGGATTCTTAGTTTCACTAAGAGTCATAATCAGACAGGGTCGCTATGTCCCCCCACCCCCGGGAGGAAACTGATGGCAGAGAAGGAGAGTCGAATCGGTCCTGTAAGCGACAGAAGCGGGACTCGCATTCAGGTCTTCCAGCGCGTCAGGCTCGCTCGCCCTGCTACAGGGGCTGAAGGTAAATAAACCCCGGAGCAAGTCTCTGAGCAGGGAAGGAGCCCACCCAGAGCATCGCAGAAACTAGAGGGGGCCCCTGGCAAGGAAGGGGCAGCGACTCATCCCTGAGAGAGTTGCCGGTGGGATGAGACATGGGCGAGTTTCAGAGATGATTCTCCGTGTGCCCGGCAGCCCCGGGGTGAGCTTACGGGGGCTCTGAGGTCACGAGGTGACTCACTGGGATACGTGCCATGTCAGCCCCGGCTACAAGCGGGACCGAAGCCAAATGCCAACTCCTTTCCCTGACGCAGCTGGAGGTGCACCTCGTCCCCGCCTCTGGCCTTTGGCTAAGATGCCGTAACCTTGGAAACCAAACGCTCTCTGGCCCACCCACACCAGCAAAGTGCAGAAACTGGGAAATATTTCATGACGGTAGCATGAGGACTGGAACGTCCTGGGCTGTGTTCCAGGCACTTTCCGGGCAAGGTCTCATTCCATTTTCACATCAACTCTAAGATGCAGAGATGGTTCTCGATTTTACAGGGGATCATGGCGAAGTCACATGGCACCCCGGGTCAAACACGCCCAGGACGGACTGTCAATCTCCACGTTCTTCCCAGGGCTTCTCCTCAGGAAGCCCGGGGCTCTTAAGGACAAAACATGAAGTGTTGGCCTCAGTGCTCAGAAACCTCTCCCTTCTGTAGCAAGAGATGGATCAGCATGTGGGCATAGGAAAGAAACTACCAGAAAGTGAGTACCTCCTATGTATCGAGGAGACACTAAGCACTGGACATCTGGGATCCCATCTGACTTACCCAGAAAAATCTGATAGACCCATTTTTCAGAGGAGGGAACTGAGGCTTGGGGAAATCAAGTGACTTGACCAAGGTCACCCAGCCAGTCAGTGATGGGTGTGGGGTTCAGGCCTAGGTCTGCCTGCCTCCAGAGCTCCAGAGCCATTCCCAACATATTTTGCAGATTCTAGAACATTCCAGCCTCAGTGAAGGCCATGAGTCTAAACAGGGTCTTAGAGGGGAGGGTGTTCTGACCCTGGGGATCTGGAGCCAGCTTAGCCGTCTAATCTGTTGGTCATACCCTGGCCCGATATGCCATCCCCTGGTCCATGCCTGACTTCTCTGCAATGCCCAGGCGCCCACGTCTCTCGATCCCTCCTCATTTCCTGCTTTCAAACTCCGCCCCTGCCCCTCTCCCACACAGAGGGGGCTGATCTGGCACGTGAACCCACGTCTGTCCACGGTGGGACAGCAATCCCGGTTGGGGCAGCGATGCTGACGGAGGTAGCTGGTGGTGGTGACATTGGTGAGTACCTGTTACATGCTAAGCCACACACTAATTATTCACGTAAAACCGTCCCTGAGAGAGAGTTACCACTAATTCGGTCAAGTAGCTTGTCCAGACTAGGAAGTATGCAGCTGGGCTTCAAACCTGGATCTCTTTGAGCCCCACCCCGTCTGTGGCCACCTACTACTGCCCTTGGGAGACAGCAGCCAGAGAGGAGAGGACATAGAGCTATCCGACTGTTGAACAGGTCTGAAGACTGAAGTCGGTGGCCCAAGGGACAGTGGGGAAGGAAAAAGCCGGGAATCACGGCTCGGATCCCGGCCCTGCGGTTTGCTGCTGCTGACAGGACATTCTTTTTTACAGCAACAGGGAAAGTGCAATGTCAACCAGCTAACCAGGTGTCTCACCTGGGCCAGTTTTCTCAACTCTTACACCTCTGAGTGGCACCTGCCAACAGGTAGGTGGATTGCCTAGGCTGAGATTCATCTCCTCTTATGCCTGGCTGGGAGTCCCAGCAAGGGAGAGAAGGAGGGAAGAGGATGGGTCTGCACAAGCCCGAGGCTCTTCTCCTGAATGCATTTGATGTGGGCCGGCCACCGCTTCAGGAGGCAACAGCCCAGAACCCTCCAGAAAGATGAAACAGCTGAGTGTGGCTAAAAACCAGAAAGCTGCCCTGTGGCCAGTGCCTTATTCTCAAAGAAGACGTTGACCAGCTAGTTGGCCCAAACCCCTTTGCAGAAAGATCTGGAGGAAGCTGGGGCAGAGCTGAAGAGCCGGAAAGGGATTTCAGGGGTGACTGAGGTCAGCTGAGGAGGCCTCTCTTAGAAACAGGCCTGCAGCAGCTCCTGGAGAAACTGAGGCTGGATTGCAAACTTTCTAGAAGTTACTGTCCTGCAAGGCCTATAACCACCACATTCTCACCGGCCTGCTACATCTTCGTGTGTAGGACTGTCCCTTGCAACAGCTGCAAGCAGCCTCGCATGGGTCCTGAGAGCGGAGAACCTCAGGGCCCACAGCCCACTATCCTGTCTTGATTCTGGAATGCTCTGGTTGTGCAGGTGCTGGTGTGCAGACCTGGAGAAGCCCCTACGGGGCATACCTCCTGAGCCTTCAGCCCACATGCATGTACACAGATGGATACCTGTGCACACTCACGATCCTTCTGCACACTGACGCCCACAAACACACGAGGAAAAGAACCGTCAGCTGTAAAAGGGACTCTGACAAATGGCCTTGGATGAATTTAGTAAGAAAAGCATCTGTCCCAGCACCTCTAGCCCAGTGCACACTGCCTGACACCCCACCACTATAGAGGAACCCTACTGGTCAGAGAGGGGCTCTGGAATCTTCTGTGCATATGCCATGGCAGTCCTCAGGAAGGGGAGCCCAGTGGTCACTAAGTTCCGAGTGGGATGCACCCGGGCAGATGAGGAGGGCAAATGAGGAGGAGCTCGGGAAAGGAGAACGAACGCCTATAGGGGGCTCAGCTAGAGGTGGTAGGGCACAGGCCTGCTGGGGATTTGGGGTGAGGTGGAGAGGGTGTGATCAGGGAAGGGCTGCAGGAAGGAGAGGAGGGTCCCCTGAGACCTAGCTGAACCCACTTCCCAGACTGCTGGGGGCCGGATTCCTCAAACTGTGCCTTCTGGCCACACCCTGATATACCAAGAAGTAAAAACCCACAAAACTACTTCCTTGGTGCCCATAGCTCAGCTATGGATGGTCACTGCCCTTGGCTTTCACCAGATCTCCATGAAAACCTCGGTCCACGCCGATACTTAGCCAAATTTGTGCCCCCTCCCCGAACACCCCAAAGGCATAGTAGACATAAGGGTGCAACAGAGGGTGAGATTTCTGTAGGAGACAGTGCTGCTCCCCACAGGTGCACGGGTGGGTTCGGGGGCAAGAGTACACATGGAGATCTACACCCCACGTGGCCACGTTTTTCAACACGACACATCAGGCCATACCTTTTAGATCAAACATGCTCTGTCTTCTTACCTCGACAACTAGACCTCCATGACGGTTCTATTATAAGGTTCAATTTTGGAATCCTCCCTTCTTATAGCTCTGCACGGCAGTGTGATAGCATGGGGGGGAGCCCATTTGCCCGCACCCTGCTTCTTCCCCACCTCAGCGCTGTCCAATGACATACAAGGCCTTCCGCACACACGTGTGGACTCTTGCATCCACGTGTCTAAGCTCTGTCCACACCCCTGCAGACAATGGGCCCCTGGCCTCTCCTGGGACCTGGGCCCTGCCCACCTGCAGCACAGCCCACATGAGAGAAGGAATGAGGTTGGAGGTCCACGAAGACCCAGAAGGGGGTTGGGGTGTTTGCGCAGGGACATCCAGGGTCTGGGTACCTGGAGTGGTGCAGGGGGGAGGCAGTGTCCTGGGCGGGCAGGCTCTCTAGGCCCAGGCCTCGGTGAGAAGCAGAGGAGGGCTGAACAGGGCTCTCTAAAGCACAGGGCCCAGGGCAGACCCCCTGTGACATAATGTGATATATAGATATTTGGTCTCTGCTCTGCGTTCCTGACAAAGAGCTCTTAAAAACCCTCGAAATTTTCTAAGTGGGAGTGATAGGAATGTCTTATACAGAGCTTCTAAATCCCTTGGAATTTTCTGGGTGATAGGAGGATCTTTTGTTCTAATGAGATAATTCTTGGTGGGCTCCTGGGTGGGGGCCTGGTCCCCAGGAAGGCCAAACCCTGATTAGAAGCTTGGAACTTTCAGCCCCAGCCTCCAACCTCCGGGACAGAAAGAGGGGCTGGAGATGAAGCTAAAACCGATGATGCCCACGTGTCGAAGCTTCCATAAAGATCTCTGAACTACGGAACTCGGAAAACTTCTGAGCTGGACAACACATCCACGTGCCAGGAGGGGGACCCACCCCAACTCCGCGAGGGCAGAAACTCCTGTGCTCGGGACTCTTCCAGACCTTGCCCCACGTACCTCCTCATCTGGCTGCTCCTCGGGATCCTTTCTCATACCCTTTATAACAAGCTGGAAGATGTAAGTCAGTGCCTCCCTGAGTTCTAGGAGCTGCCATAGCCAATGAGTACACCTGACGAGGGGATCCTGGAAACCCCTGATTTACAGCCGGGTGTCAGCCGGAGACCTTGACCGGCATCTGAAGTGGGGAGACCCCTGAACCCGTGGGGTCTGCTAACTCCAGGTCGACACCCAGCTGGGGCCTGGGGAGTTGGAGCGCTGGTCCGTGTGGGGAAGCACGGAGGACAGGCTCCGCGTCACCAGTGTGCTGCGATAACTGGCAATGATGGAGGAGAAGCACTTAGGAGGCACTCAGGAGGTGCTCTGTGCACGAGAATCATGTCCTGCCATCACGCAGGAGAGCGCACGCAACTGGAAATCGCCAAGGCGGCCATCGCCCGTGGAGTTGAGGGTGGCCGGGTCCTTCACAGAGCACAGCCTTGAACGCCTGCTGGAGGCTCGCCAACACGGAGGGGCTTTGAGGCAGTCCCTTGGGGCCTCATGTCCCCGTCCCAAGGGAGGCTGGCTACTCCCTTGCGGCCAAAGAAGAGTGTGCGGACCACAGGCAGGAAGAGGGTCAAGGGTCCCCCCAGGCCACCGCCAGCCCCATGACCACAAAGGGCTCCCACAGTGCTGCCCAGAAGCCCCTCACGAATGAGGGAGCTGCTCCCCCGCGGCTAGCACTGCTCAGCCCTCAATCGTCAGGCCCTTGGCCAGTGCCTCAGTTCAAGAGATCCACCGCAACCGAGGCCACGTCCCCTTCCCAAGACAGCTGTATCCACTGACCAACTGACATCAGGGCATAGTCCCGGCCTCCTCACCTCAACTCAGGACAAGTCTGGGGGAGCCACCCCAGTCTCCGAGTTCCCCACGGTCAGCTGAGGCTTTGCTGAACCTGGTGGCCAACCTCTCCATCTGGCCAGCACCCCTTCCCTCAATCCCTTCCCCGGCAGCCTCCCC